GTTTTTCTAATTCTGGCAAAAAATGGATATACAATTGTTTTAGAAGGACTTCGATTTAAAAAATATATTTATTGAAAGGCTATCAAATGTAGATTTTAATAAATATATATTTTTTGTATAACTATCAAAGCATAGATTAAACAAATACTTTTTGTTTAAACAAGTGAAAAAGCGTTAAGTTCGGCCAGGCCGAACTTTGGATACCCTCCACCATACATATACTGACAGGTACTTGAAAAAAAAAATATAGGGAGCATACCAAAAAGTGTACCTATACCGGCATTTCTACAAACCGATTATGGTTCTAAATATTGGTCCTAGACCCCACACAGGGGCTAGGCCTAAATGCGTGTTTTTTGTATCTTACGCAGATGAAATGATTACAGCAGAGTCTTACTATAAAAAAGGGGGTTATATGGGGACGACCCCAAAAAGGGGGCGAATATTTAAAATTTTTGGTGGTGAGATTTGTTACCATATACGACTTCATAATACCAAATTGCAGCGAATTCGGTTGAAAAGCGCACTCAAGAACCCCAAATTACCGAAAATTGGGGGGTACCCTTATAAGGGGGCTATCCGAAAAAATGGACCTATATTTATAATTTTTCGTGGAGAGATTTGGTAACTATTAAGAAATCTAAATACTAAATTACAGCCAATTCGTTGGAAAAATACGACCAAAACCCCAAAAATACTGAAAATTAGGAGGTACAGTTATATGGGTGCTACCAGAAAAAGTGGACCTATATTTATAATTTTTTGTGGAGACATTTGGAACCAAATAAGTACTCAATGTACAAAATTTCAGTGTATTCGGTTGAAAAACGTGCTCAAGAACCCCAAAATACCGAATATTGGGAGGTACTGTTATATAAGAGCTATGCCTAAACATGGACCGATATATCACATCTTCGAACTTAACCTGCCTGCAGACAAAAGACGACTCTATGCAAAATTTCAGCTCCCTATTTCAATTCCTTAAGAAGATATCGTGATTACAACAGACGAACGGACGGACGGACATGGCTAGATCGTCTTAGAATTTTACCCTGATCAAGAATATATATACTTTATAGGGTCGGAAATGGATATTTCGATGAGTTACAAACGGAATGACAAAATTCATATACCCTCCATACTATGATGGAGGGTATAAAAACTCGCATTTTTGAAGATACAAATATTATTTTGGGGGAAAAGAAATCCATTATTTGTATATAATGGCCAAATGGCCAAATATGCACCGTTTTGTTGTATGATATGTTGCCATTTTAAAGGAAAATTCATAATGTCTCTGTCTAGAAGTGCTGTTCAAAATTTTCAAAAAACTCTAGTAGTCGATTTTCACAATCCTCCCTAGATACCAATTTTGTATCATTAAAGAAATTTTGCATTGCAAGAAAACGATGATAATCGCTTGGTGCCAAGTCCGGACCTTATGGCGGATGCATTAAAATTTGCCTACCAAGCTCCCGAAAGTTCTTACGAGTCACTGTAGATGTGTGTGACCTAGCGTTGTCCTCGTGGAACACGAAACCTCTCCTGTTGGCCAATTCTGGCCGTTTCTGGCCAATTGCTATCTACACACGGTCCAGTTGTTGAAAGAGATCAGAATTTTGCGTTTGGCCATTTGGAAGCATCTCATAATAAACAATCCCCTTCCAGTCCCTCAAAATGCATAGCAGAATCTTCCTGGCGAAATATTGATCCTAGACCCACCTTTAAGTATACCGATCATCATATCTCGACTAGCTGAGTTGATCTTAATATTTAGACATGTGTGTAGCCGTGTGTGTCCGTCCGTCTGTCCATTATAATTTGTAAACACGATACAGGCCACAGTTATGGACCAATCTTCACGAAATTTTGCATGTAGGTTGGGTTTTTGGTAAAGATCGGTTAATATTTAGGGGATGAAATGGACCAAATACTAAATTTTTGTCGGTTTTTCTGGTCGCTCCACAGGCCGCCGTTATGGTCCGAACTTTGTGAAATTTTACATGGAGAAGGGGATCGGGCTTAAGAATAAGCATGCCTGCTTTGATAAAGATCGGTCATTATTTAGAGGGTCAAATGGACCCTGACTATTGTGTGAAAAATTACAACATTTTTATTCTGGGGTGTAAATACTTGCTTCTGAAGGACATATACCCGAGAAGTTGATAGTATATCCAAGAGGAGTTGTTGACCTTCAAGTTGGTATCAATTATATGGCTATATGTACTCTGATGTGGGAGTTATACGTATTTAGGTAAAGGTGACTATGTGTCTAGTGTTACTATTACTCCATAAGAGGACGGAAATGTCGCGTTGATCGCTTTGAAATTGTACATAAATTGCCGATTATGGTCAAGGACGACGCCTAAGTTTTCGGTGAAGTTGAGATTTCATTCATGGGGTGCAATGAACCGACGACTTTCATTTTGTCAGATTTTCTAGTCGCTCTTGAGACAATTATTATATGCAGAACATCACATATTTTACAAGGTGAAGGGGATCTGACCAACTACTTAGAGCGGCTGTTTAGATGATGATCGGTCAATTTTCCGAGGGTCAAATCAACCAAAACCTAAATTGACCAATTTTTTTATTTTATGGCGTAAAAATTCACTTCAATAAAAAACATTCTGGGTGCAAATATCGCGAAATATTGCCCAGGCTCAGAATATAGAACCGTCAAAAGTGTGCTTTTCGTGGTAGTTGTGTAGGGTATCATATGGTCGGCCACGTCCGACTATACTGCTCCGCTATCTGGTTTTTTAATCCAGCATTGTGTAAAAGGTTTAAAACAGTTTTATGGTCGATTTTTAGCTATTGGGCGATATTACGACTGCTAATAAGCCCGTCAACTTCGACATTTTCGACTATCGGCCTAATGGATCTCTTTTTCTTCAATCTAATAATTTTTTTAAAGAGCTATCAAAGCGTAAATTTTTTAAAAATATTTTTATCAAAAGCTGCCAAAAACCTAAGGCAAAAAAGATTTTTTTTCAAATTAAAAAAAAATAAGTGCTATGAAATTGGATTTTTTTAAAAAAATTTAGAAGATAAGAGCTATTTTTTGTAAAGGCAAAACGTAAATTTTGTAAAAATAAATAACAGTTTTATAAAACTGTTATACTGCTATGAAAACCATTGTTTTGCATATTTGGAATTAAAACCAGTAAGGAAAGCAGTAAAGTCGGACGGGGCCGACTATATGATACCCTTCACCACTTTCAGTATATGAAACCTAAAAGACGTCGAATTTTTAATGGACAAAATTATGAAAATCAATTATAAGCGTAGATATATATATATATATATATAAGCTATATCAAAATCTAATCCAAAATCTAATCCGATTTGAACTAAACTTGCCACACGTTATGTTATAGTAACTTCAGAACCTAGAGCAAATTGTTGTGCCTATTGGACTCTCAATGGTGAAGCATTTAAAACAAACTTCTAGGTTATTCTAACTCCAGTACGTTGTGAAAAGTTTGTGTCAATTTTGTGTAAAATCGGACGACACCGTTTACATTAAATCGCACGAAAATATATATGGGAGCTATATCTAAATCTGAACCGATTTTCTCGAAGCTTGGTACACATCATTTTAGACTTAATTTAGTACGCTATACCAAAATTCGTGCAAATCGAAAGATTTTCAGGGACTTTGGTGCTCCATTTACCTTAAATCGGACGAAACTATATATGGGAGCTATATATAATAATAATAAAAAATTTTATAAACTTGGCACACATATTTACCTAATTCAGTACTCTGTGCCAAATATCATGCAAATCGAAAGATATATAGGGACTTTGGTGCTCCATTTACCTTAATTCGGGAGCTATATCTAAATCTGAACCGATTTTCTGGAAACTTGGCACACATCATTTTAGACTTAATTCAGTATGATATACCGAAATTCGTGCAAATCGAATGATTTTCAGGGACTAAAGTCCGTAAATCGGACAAAAATATATATGGGAGCTATATCTAAATCTGAACCGATTTTTCCCAATTTCAATAGGGTTCGTCCTTGGGCCAAATAAATGAGCTGTACCAAATCGGATTATAAATGCGACCTGTACTTTGTTTACAATTTAACATCAACAGACGGACGGACGGACGGACTTTCGACTCAGAAAGTGATTCTATGCATATTCTCAAAAGGAACCATGGGTCTATCTCGATTCCTTTTGTCTGTTACAAACATATGCACAAAGACATAATACCCTGTACCACAGTGTGGTGAAGGGTATAAAAAGTTATTTGACCATTTTCAAGTGTATAACAGTTCAATGTTTTCATTTGATGCCAAAGAAACTTTGTAATTTTTTTTTAACTGAAAAACGTTTTAGCTTTAAGGGCGAGAAATTACATAAATAATCCAAAGGTATTTTATATATTTTCCAATATTTGTATTAAGCCTATAAATAAAGTAAATAAATATTTCATGCTGTATAACTTTTAGTATAACAGTTTTATAAAACTGTTCTCGCAAAAAATCATCTTTTAAGTATTTTTCTTCAATCGAAGTTGTGAGAAAATTTTAGAAGTACAACAGTAAATTTGTCGCAAATAAAAATCTCTCATTTTTATTACAAAAAAAAAAAAAATAATAATAATAAAAATTTTTATTTTTATGGCGAGAAACAAGCTTTTAATTAAAAAAAAACTATCTAAATAATTTTGAAAATGTTGACCATAATTTATCACATTTTTATTCTTCAATTTTATTTTTGTTTCTTTTTTATTAATATTAAACTAACATTTAACCAAATAACATATAATATTAATAATAAATGTTTATGCTTTTACTAACCACATATATAATTGTATTTCTTTTTGATAATAATAATAACAAAAAATATTTACAAATTACATATATATTTATTTATTATAGTTCCTATGTATATATATAGCATTTTCCTAAAAACATTTATTAATTTCTTTTCTTGAATATTTTTCTACATTTTTCTCATTCTATTCACATGCTCGTCAACAGAGGAACAATGGGAAAAGGATTTAGAAGCTGAACTTAAAGATTTCGAGGTAGTTGATAATGGTTCTAAAAGAAATGCGACGGCAGCCGGCGGTGGTGGCGATGACGGCGATGGCGAGGACGATCTGCCGACAATATCACGTACGCGTAATGCCAACAACGATTGGGAGGAATATGCCGATTTAATTGAAGATACCGATGATTTAAAGTAATTAAGAGCTTATATCGTAGTTTTTTCTAAGTTCTAAGACAAACATTTTTATATGTGTTTTATCTTCCCTTCCATACACACACACCCCCAACCTAACTCAACTTTTGTGACAATGACTTTGTTTCTTGTGATTTTGGTATAAAAAAAAACCAAATAATATTGCCCAACTAAATAATAAAATTATAATTATTTTATATATACATGTGAATCGTAATATATAAAAATTATGTATTTTTTTCTCCTGATTATTAATAAATTTTTGTAATGAAATGGAAATCCGATTTAGAACTTTAAAAGATTTAAAACGTGTCATGTTGGGCTATCAACGAGATCAATCATTTTTTACGCTCTTCTAGTGTTTGCCAATGGATAACAAACAAACAAACAATAAATTCTACTACTACAACAACAACAATTTACAAGTCTTTCCTATTATTATGATGAATATAAATAATATTTTATTATAATTGTATTAATTTCCGATTATTATCATTACTTTTATTTTGTTAAAGAACCAATTTTTTTTTAAATTATAAACAACAAAAACTTACCATATAAGCCTGAAATGTCAACAACAACAACAAATACTACCACTTTATAACAACAACAAAAATACAACAACTATCTTGCATATATATTAAGTAATATAAACAACAACAACAAATTCTTAAATCCTTTTTTTGTTCCATACACCAGAATATCCCTCTGCCAATCAATGCAGAGATGGGAGTTGAGAATTTCTAAAGAGAGGAATTTTGTTCTCTCTTTAATCGTTTTTTTAATATTTAATATTTTTAAATTTAACACTCTGTGTTATAGTTAACCAGCCCAGAATGTAAAAAAAATATTGACAAATATTTTAATTTTATTGTTTTGAAAAATGTGAGGTTATGGAGAATTCTAATTTTTTTAGTTGGGAAAATAGTATTAAAAACTTTATTCATAGGTATTGAACAAGAAAATTAACACAAATTTTATAAGCCTGTTTCAATATATTTTTTGAATAATTCAAAATATTCAAATTGCCCTATACAACAAGTGAGGTTATGGAGAACAAATTGTTATTGGCGTCTATTTAAAAAAACAGCGAACTTATACAACAAGTAAGGTTATGGAGAACCTTTTTTGGAGAACAAATTCTTATTGGCATCTATTAAAAAAAAAACAGCCGCCTTAAGTATTACTATTAAAAAAACATACACAGTGTGGCCATCAAATTGTGAGGTTAGGGAAAACATTTATAGACCACCCCAATTGCAAAGAGCTGGGTTTTCTGGAACCTCCATAATTCACCTTTGGAGGATGTTGTGATTGGATGAACCAGTATTAGGTGTTGAGATCCTATTTAGGTACTCAGTTTGTCGCCAGCCACCCAAAAATTATTTCCGATGCCTAGATAATGGGCTGAGTAGTCCAGCTAATGTAGCTCAATGCAATGATTCTATTTTCAAGATAAATCGTACAGGCCGATATCACTTTTATAGCCTGTAGCTGAACCACATATCTCGTTCATCCAGCTGAGTTTTTTCCATGCGAGGAATATTCGCCACGAAGTCAACGGTACACAGTTTATCATATGTACAGAGGATATAGCCTAGGCAAGCCTATCAAAATTCAGACCTAAAGAATACTAAGGGGTGACTTTTAATGACTCCGATAGGCCAGCTAATGAAAAATTTCCTCCTGCTCGACAAAACAACAAAAATGTCGATGCAATATCCTTCGCTCAGGCACATCAGGAAAGATTTTCACGACGTAGCAGAGTTTTTCCATACGGCAGTTTACCTTATGTACAGAGGATATAGCCTTGGCTAACCTATCAAAATTCAGACCTAAGGAATGCTACGGGGTGACTTTTAATTACTCCAATACCTTCGCCGGTGCTACAGAAGCAGTCATGAAGGCAATGGACCGACATCCTTCGCTCAGGCACATTAGGAAAGATTTTCACGACGTAGCAGAGTTTTTCCATGCGAGGAATATTCGCCACGAAGTCAACGGCACACAGTTTACCTTATGTACAGAGGATATAGCCTTGGCTAACCTATAAAAATTCAGACCTAAGGAATGCTACGGGGTGACTTTTAATGACTGCGATAGGCCAGCTAATGAAAAATACCTCCTGCTCGACAAAACAACAAAAATGTCGATGCTATATCGTGGCAGTCATGAAGGTAAGGGACAGGCATCCATCGCTCAAGCACAATAGTAAACATTTTCAGGGTCTAGAAAGACGATAAATGAAGGAATCTTCAGGTTCTGATTCCTTCTATTTTCAATAAATTTCAACAAAAATCAATTTCCCTTAACTCAATTTTTTTCATTCTATCTTCAATAAATTTCCAATGGAAATCAATTTCCCATAACCCAATTTTTTTAAAATAATCAAAGTTAAAATATTTTCAATAACAACTACATTACAAAATTCTGTAGCACAGTGTAATGTACTATATGGGAGAGGAGGTGGACAATTCCAAAAAATGTTCTCAGCCCCCTCTTCAAAAAATTCAAATTGAATTTTTTCAAAATTAAAAAAAGTTTCTATTTTTTGGTTAAAAGCAAAAATACTAGGGAATAACTGCAATAATTAAAACAGCAACAACAACAAACTGGTTAAATATAAAAACATCAGTCTCTCTCACAACAACAACAACACAAATAATCCAATACACAAACAAAAAATTCTCTCTGTTTGTTTTGTTGGACTCTCGCTCACGTTTTTTTCTTCTCTCCCCCCGTCTACATAACAGTTATTGGATATACATAAAATAAATATAAAAATTGATGTTTTATTATTTATTTCTATATATATGCAAAAATTAATAAAAAAAAACCAAAAAAAAAATAATTATAATATAAACAAAAAAATGGAAATCCAAATTTCAAAACAAAAACAAATTGCATTTGAATTTATGGTGTATAAACAGAAGAAAATTAACAACAACAAAAATTATTAAAACAAAAACAAATAAACTTACCTAATTGATAATATATATAAAAAAATAACAAGCAACAACAAACCATATATTGTTTACATTTTAAATAAATAAAAAAAAGATGAAAAATTTTAATAACCAAAAAAATTAAAAGAAAAATAAAAATAACAATAACAACCACTCAAAACTAAAAAAAACAAGAACAACATAATGTATAAAACACTTTAAATTTATAATTAATTATAAATCATAAAATATATATTAAAAAAAAACTAAAAAAAATTATTATTATAGTCAACAGAAAGAAAAATAAAATAAATTTAAAAAAAATATGTAACAAAAAAAAAATTAAAATAAATTATTTAGTTAAACGTTGCCACACAGTTTACGTTTTTCTATTTGTATTTCTCCCTGTTATTATTAAAAACAATAAAAAATAAATTGAAAAAAAATACAAAAAAACATATATATAATTGTGTTCGTTACAACAAACATAAATATTATTTACTATTTATTATTATAATTATTATTTTTTATATTATTCCTCAAAAAAACAAAACCTCCTGCAATATAATATAGTAAAATATTCTGTTTCATTGTGTAACCATCCTAGAAAAATTCAAACCACCAGCATGGAATCGGAAAATTTGTAGAAAATAATTAACAAACAACAACAACAAATTGTTAGTAAATAACCAGAAATTATGCTAAATCTATATATACAACAAAAAAACCGTAACGTAATTATAATATTAATTATTATTATTAATTATGTTTATGATAAAATAAAAATAAAAAACGACAAAAAATATATTAAAAAAAAAATTACCAAAAATAAAATCAGAGTTTTTTGCCTAAACACAAAACAATCCATAAACAAACAAATATCAATTGTGAGTATAATTTTTAATCTTTTTTCTTTTCCTATATTGTTCTCAAATGCTTGGATTTTTCTATAAAAAATTAAAACAATTTAAGATGTTTCAATTAACTATATACAGTAAAAGGTTAACGCATACAATATTATTCCAATCAAAAGACATTCAAATTAGAATATTCAGCAAGTGAGGTTATGGAAAATATTTATAAATTTTTTCTTATTGGCAACTATTTCAAAAAGAAGCCCAAGCCCAATGTTTTTTTTTTGCCAATTTTAAGGTTATGGAAGAAGTATAATTAAAAAATGTATCCTAAATACAAATACTAAGGTATTATGTATTCAGGGTTAATTTTAAAATTCATTTTTTAAATAAAAAAATGTCAATTCCAAAATTTTATTTTCAAAAAAGCATTTCAAATTGCAATATTCAGCAATTTAGGTTATGGAATACTCATTTTTTTTATTTGAAAAAAATCGAGGTTATGATTATGAAATACCTTATCAAGGCTAAGATGAGGAAAATGTACCTTAGCTTACCATTTCTTTAAAGCTTCCCAAAAAAAAAAAAAATAAAATTTTTACCATATGTAGTCCATTGTGTCCTGTTTACAACACCATTACATTTTTTTGGAGGAGAAATGGATTGTCATTGTGATAGGTGGATAATTAAATATTTATTTGGGCTTATCTTTCCACTCAGAAAAGGCTCAAACAAGACATATGGCTCTACAAGATGGTAATGATCGGAGTATTTCAATCTCGAGAAACTTGTTTTCATAGAAAATACAATTTCTTACGGATATCCACTATACTAATTTGTCTCAATTCCGGGAATATTTTGAAAACTGAAATAAATATATCATCTATTTCAGGTGCCTTTGAGGGTAGAACATTAAAATTATAATGGTCTCTATTAGGCGTTCAACTTATTCGGTGTAGAGCTTGCTGCAGGCCACATTTTACTAGTGTGTGCCGAGAAAAAAACACGTCTCTTAAAAACTTGTTTCAAAAATTCTAATATTTGATTTATATACGACGGTTTATACAGTGAACTCTCGATAATGTGAACATTTAATTAATGAACTATCCACTAATGTAAAAATTCAAACCGACATTTGGTCTGTTCCCGTACTGCAAGAATCTACTACTTTTTACTACGATAACGAATTTTCCTTTATGATATCGAATAAAATAGTAAAATCGAGTAGATTCTTGCAGTACCAATTATTGTA